CTCATCTGTGAGGCCAGCATTGCCCTAAGGCCAAAAGCAACAGAAACTATAAACCAGGGGCGCCTGGGTGGCTCGGTCGCTTAAGCGTCTGACTGCGGCTCAGGTCATGATCTCACAGTTCGTGGGTTCCGGCCCCATATCGGGCTCTGTGCTGACAGCATGGCATTCTCTCTCTCCGGCCCTCCCCCGCTCGTGCACGTGCGCACTCTTTCTCTCTCTCAAAGTAAATTTAAAAAATAAAATGAAACTATAAACTACTATTGTCTCCACAACAGAGATGCCAAAAAACAAGGAAATAAAAAAGGAAGCACTGATAATTGCACCAGGTCAAAACCTAAAGCTTCTGTTGTGTGCAAGGATGGCAGGTCTAGCTATCCAGGGAGAAAGTATCTGCAAACCACAGCCGACCCTCATTCCTCTGGCCTCTGTAGGTGCAAGTTGGCCCGCTGGTCCGGTGTGTCTGTGACCCCTTATCAGTCGTCCTTGCGTATAGGCTCAGAGCGGTGAGACCGAGCTGGGGCGGGTGCTTTGTTCCACACTGAAACCAGTGTCCTCTTCCCCTTCTAAGGTGGTTGGCTCAGGGCCATGCCGCCTGCACTTCTGGACCTTTGCTGGTGGTTTCCCTACTCACACTGCCCGGGAGCGCGGAGGATGCAGAGCCATCTGGTGGTCCTCAGTGCAAGAAGGCCACCCTGGGCCTCATCCGCTGACTGCGGGTCGGGTAGTGTTGTGCCTGACATCAGGCGTCCGTGAACCAAGCGCACAGCATGCCAAGTTGCCTACTGATGGGCCATGGTCCCCCAGAAGCAAGGTGGCAGTATCTGCGGCACCTGCCGCAGGTCGTGAGTACCCTTGGCCTCGGACAAGGGAGGAGGGCCTGTACCCCAGTGCCGAGGAGGCGTTCCACCAGTGAATGCACCCAGGAGCCGCGGGGGAAGTTCAGACCAAAACCAGCACCACACACCTATGGGGGCAGCTAGAACACTCCCCGCCCCCGGATGCTGGGCAGGAGGCAGGAAACGGGGTCCCCCCCCTCCCCCCGGAGCGCACTGCGGTGCAGCAGTGCTGGGAAAACGTGCAACTCCTGGGACAATAAGCTTGCCGCCACCACCACGTGAGGCAGCCTGGCCTCTCCCGGGCCCGCATCCCAGGGACACGGAAACCGTGCGCACACAGCCCGGAGTGAACATGCACCACCCAAACGTCCCCGCCCCCGCGGGGCTGGAACAGAGCGTGACAGACCACTACACCAAGCTGCGCGAGGAGATAAGGACACAAAGCAACCTCACGAGACACAGCAGCGCCCCCTGGTGATAAGACTAACAACTCATGGGCGCGCGGACCGCGCGTGCAAGAGGGGCTGCATGAGGCCAGCGGGTCCTGTGTGATACCGCGGGGGTTCTGCAAACAGTCCCCACCGCGAGGCTTGGGGGGGACCCTGCAAACAGTCCCCACGGCGGGGGGAAGGCTGAGGGTGTACCCTGCAAACAGTCCCCAACGGGGGTCTGGGTGCAAACAGTTCCCACGGGGGGCAGAAGTGGGGAGCTGGGGAGGGAGCCTGCAAACAGTTCCCACTGCGGGGCTGGGGGAGTACCCTGCAAACAGTCCCCGCGGGGTGGGGGGAGGCTGGGGGACCTGCAAACAGTCCCCACTGCGGGGCTGGGGGAGTACCCTGTAAATAGTCCCCAAAGGGCAGGGGGGTGGGGACCCTGCAGACAGTACCCAGGGGGGGGGGGGAGGCTGGGGGACCTACAAACAGTCCCAGGGAGGAGGGGTGCTGGAGGACCTGCAAACATCCCCACGGAAGGGGAGTGGCTGGGGGACCTGCAAACAGTCCCCCATGGGGGGTACTGGGGGGGGGATCCTGCAAACAGTCCCCACACCAGGGGCTGGGGGCGGGGCTGAGAGTGCTGCAAGCAGTCTGGGAGGGGGGGTGGCTGGGGGATGTGCAGTCCCCGTGGGAGGGGTGCTGGGGAACAGGGAAGTGGGACCTGGTGGTGGCGATGACCTCGTTAACAGTTCCCATTAAGCCAGAGGTCCACACAAGGTGTGGGGGGACCTGAGGCAGGTCCAGAGAGGACCTGTGAGTCCCATGGCCCCCACTGGTCTTCATCCTGCCACACCTCCTGTGCTCAGAACTTCCAGGCCACCTGACACCCTACTGCCCTCCACCCAGGGGGCAGCCCTAGGCAGCGTCCCCCATTCCTCCAAACCCCATGCTTTAGATAAGGTCTAAGCCCCTGACTCCTCACCAGGGAACCCTGTCCCCATGCCCCCACTCACCACAAACCCTCCCGCAGCTCCTGCCCTGCATGGCAACAGCCGCTCTCCCACACTGCCCCTAAACTCTGCCCTACTCTACCTCTGCCCCTTGAGGACTCAGGATCCTGCCCTTTGCCCACACCCCTTCCCAAGAGCCCTGCCCCTAGCCACACTGGCCTCAGCTCTTTGAAGGGCATGCGAGGTGCGGTATTGGTCAGGATCTTTCCCCCACGGTGGGCCCTCTGTCTGGACACAGCCACCACAAATGCTTGACCCCATGCTGAATGTACCCAGCCACCCAGTGCCACCGACCCTGCACACAGTCCAAGCTCCCAAGGTGTCCCAATGCCCATGAGCCCAGCCACCCAATGTGCCCCAACCCTGCACACAGCCTATCTTCCCAATGTACCCCACTGCACATGAGCCCAGGGCCCCAGTGCTCCCCGACTCTGCACACAGCCTATCCTCTCAGTGCACCCAGTCTCCCAATGTGCTCTGACCCTACACACACCCATCCCCCTAATGCACCCCACCTCCACACACAGCCTGCCCTGTTCCCAGCTTAATCACAGAAAAGCTAACACAACCCAGCATACTTTGTGCTTTAGTTCATGGCTGGTGGGCGCTTAGTAAGCCTCTGAGTGAACAGATGAGAGAGTGAAAGGTAGCCCAGGACTCAGCAGTCTCCAGAACATTCTGTTAATCAACAGGGTCCCTGCTGGCTGGCTGCTGACCTTCCCTGACCATCTCCTCCCTTTGAGGGCTGACACAAAACAAAACCTTTGGAAATCACTCATTTTTCCCGCAAACACGAACGTGACCACACTAGATCAACATCCTCTGGGAAGAAAGTGGAGCCAGGGACCCTGAACTGTCCGGGTGCCCAGACCATAGAGAGTGGATGGGGCTCCCCACCGTCCCTGAGACACAGGCAGGCATCCACCCACGATGACTGAAATCTAAACACCAAGTCTCCACGTGGAAATTACGAAGGCTGACCACACCACATGGTGGCAAGGCCATGCTGCTGGCTGAAGCAGGAAACGGAACAGTCGCCAGGTCACCCAGAGAACACAGACAGCTCCTTACTGGGGACCTCCCCCTACCCGCAGCTCTGTGATCCCACCCCAGATGAGGCATGTGTCCACAAAGGGCTCGCTCCCACAGGAGGACTCAGAGATGCTCACCATGGTCCAGCCACCCGCCAGGCAGCACCCCACCTGAAGCCCCAGGCTCTGCACATCTGTGGCAGCTGGGGCACAGGGACTGGCCGGGACAGGCTGGTGAGTGCTGCCCGGGGACAGAATGTTCCAGACCTTCCTCCAGTCTTGGGTGCACAGCCATATGCACTCCACACAATCCAGGAAATAGCAAGATTGGTGCATTTCATGGTAGCCAAATTTTACCTCCCAGGGAACAAAAGACGTTGATGATGAGGAAGGCAATAGGAGGGTGTGAGGTCTGCCAGTTTGTTGGAAATGCAGCAAAACACAACCAAGGCTGAGGGGGGGCCAGGTGATGGGGTCTGGCAAGTGGGGTGTCATCGGGCACGTGCACCAGTGCTCACAGCAAACTCTCACGTTCCGTGTGGGGTGCTCATGATGAAACGTTGGGGGAAGCATGTCTTAACCAGCTTCACAGTGGGGGCAGGGGGCTCCCCCAGGAGGGCCAGGTCTCCAGAACCCAGTGCCCTCTGCCATCTGCCCACTGGCCACACTCTCAGGGCATTGGGGCAGAGCATAAGACCACTTGCTTCCTGGAATTCCGTACTTCTTACAAACAAACTGAGGCGGACCCAAGAACCAGCAAGGGGCTTCCCAAGTGCCTGCACTGTCCTCCTGGAGCTCGACATTGACGAACATGGAGACAAGCAGATGTAAGCATCAAACCTCAATGGGACCCCTTGGTCCCCTGGCATGTACACTGGGCAGCGCACCTTACAGCCTCTGAAAGCCGCAGACTCTTGGAAGCCCTGGTGATTCTGTGAGGAGTGACAAGGTCTGTCCAGCAAAGGAACACTTGTTTTGGACAGCAGCTTTCGGTTATGATCCCTGAGGTAGAACTCAGACTGAACAGAGTGTCTCAGGTCCCAATGACCTGGATGCCTAAGGACAGTAGGGGACACACGATCTGGAAGGCAGCATCTCACTGGGCAGCTGCTGGAGCTTTCCGCCACAGTGGCCAGCCTCCCTCCCGGTTACTCTCTCGGCTCCCGGCATGGGACTCCAGGTACCCACTCGGCGGGTGGGTCCACGGACTGTGAGGAGCCCAAGCACGTCCAGCACAGCACAGGTGCTGGGCACAGGCACACACCCACTGTGCAAGGCTGGCTCCCAGGCCCCAGGTCACATGCAGAGGGGCGCTGCACAGTCTGCAGCTGGACAGGAGACAAAGTCCTGATGTGAGGTCTGAGTGTTGGCCTGGAGACCCGCCAGTGGGGGCTGAGGGAGGGCAGTGCATACTTGCCAGTGAATCGCCCCGTGAGGGCCCAGATGCTGGCACTAACTCGGTTTCCTGTTAGCCTCTCCCCTCCGTGGATACGAAGGCAAGCCACGCCATCCACCGCAGACTTGGAGCTCCCTTGCTGTCCCAGAACAAGGCCTCTTCCTGGGACTCTGCTGGCGTACTTCACCTGGAGTGCTCTCAGTGTATCTGCTCTACCCAAAACGGAGTCCCAGCACCTTCCACCCAAAATGAAACCAGAGCTCCACACATGCTGCTTGTGCGTCACACTTTAATAGCCACTCCAGGGCATCACGCGGGACACCCCTAACCATGAGATTCACATTGCATGGGACAGTGCAAGTCAGTGGTTTCAAGAAGAGAAGAAAGTCAACCTCTTACTGTGAAAACATAGCCACGCCTCAGAAAAGCAGCAAGTAAACCAAGCAGAAGCTCTTCCTTGTCAGAGCCCTGCTGTCCCACCCCAGGGCAGCTCCTGGGGTGGAGGGGGAGGGGCGCAGCAGAAACCTTGGTGCACAAGTGGGGCCCCCATGTGAAATTCACAGGGTGTCCCACAGCCAGCACATGGCACACCAGTTCCCAGGGCCCACCTGCCCTTTCAGCCAACCCCAGATGGAGAGGAATGCAGGCAGCCTGGGGACAAGGCTCTGGACCGTCCTGTCCTCAGCCAATAGATGAACCACCTCCAAACCCACACAGCTGGGACCCTGTCCTTCCCCATCGGAGGGAAACTGCAGCTCACCTTGGCACAGGGGCACGTGAAGGGCTGGCTCCTCCTCCTGGGTCCCCAGGAGGACTCCTGCAGCTCACAGCCACAGAGCAGCAAGGGATGACAGCCACAGCTGCCCGTGGGACCCTCTTTGGGAAGCACGGTGGGCGGGAAACACAAGCCAACCACACCTGCAGCCCTGGGAGCTAGGAGGCCAGCCTGCAGAGTGCAGCAGATGGACAGAGCCCTCCAGGGCACCCTGGCAGCCCCAGGGCTGCAGGAGCAGAGGGACGTCCTTCCTGGCTACTTGGCGACTGTGGGCCACCAGTCCGGTACAGACACAGTCAGGGCCACCTGGCCGCTGTTGGAGGTCCTGATGTGGAGAGGGCCCTTAATCTTCTCTGCCCGCAGCAAGGCGAGGCCCACATCCCCCTGGCCAGCCCTGTACTTGCCGGCGGCCTGACCCGACTCGGTGAGCACTGGGGCGCCCAGAGCGATGCCATCCTCAGGGACAGGCCCCAACAGCTGCACTGGGAACAGGCGTTTGCGGATGACGCCCATGTGGTGGGTGCGGGCGGTCAGCTCCTGGCCTATGTAGCAGCCCTTACTGAAGCTGACACCATTCATGAAAGCCAGGTTGGACTCCAGGGGCAGGGCCACTCCTGGGGGCAGGTCCCGGACCCCCTCAGGAACGCCTGTGGGGTGGGAGAGAAGAAGCTCTCTGAAGGCTAAGGCCTCCTCGGGGGCTGGGGGATGGTGGGCTCGTGGAGAAGGGCCAACACTGGACACAGCGCCTGAGCCCTCCCCCCGCCCCCACCAGCACAGCCCCACCCCGTCCCTACCTTGCTGGTACCGGTGTCTGTGATAATCCCGGGGGTCTCCGAGCCGGCCTCTGGGCACCGGCACCAGGCCCTCATCCCGGATGAGAAGCCGCCAGCCCATGCGGGCGGTCCGGGGGTCGGGGGTGAGGACGCTGGTTCTGTCAGTCCGCTCCCGCAACGGCGCGGCCCCACAGACCTCCTCGGGGCAGTCAGGCAGCAGAGCCCACACACGCAGCTCGGGGCACGGCTCCACCACGACCTTCCGCCGGATCCTGTACAGTGCCAGGTGTGTCTCCAGGGCGCCCAGCACCGCGCTGTCACACTCCAGGAGGAAAGCGGGCGCCTGTTCAGCGAGCTCATGCTCTGGGAGCCTGCAGGTAGGGGCAGGGGCTCCTGAGGGTTGGCCTGGGGCCACCGCTCTCCACCCACCGTGCTCCAGACCCCAGGTCTGCTGCGGGACCCTCCCTACCCGGGGTGCGAACCACAGGGAGCGGTCCACTTGGTGGAAGACAGGCCGTGGCTGGGCAGGTGGGACCCAGGTCCGGGGACCACAGTGCTGTTGGTCTGGTCCTCCACGTGAGGGGGAGAGCTGCAGGCAGCCTCACAGGACCAGGACCTGCCTCCTCTGGCCCATAGAAGCCAAGGGTCTGAGGTGGGTGCCCTCAGCACTCACGATGGGGGGCAGGCTGGGGGGTAGGTGGGACACCAAGCAGCGGACAGAGCCGAGGGGATGTGCTGTGAGGCCACATACAGTCTGCCCAGAGCCACCTCCCACTTCCCAAGGAGAGCCCTGGAACCCTGTCAGGGCCCCACAACCACCCTAACTGCACTCTGGACCCCCACTGCCACAGCAGCAACCCTGGAACCTGGTGTGCTAACCACATGGGACACGCAGCACAGAGAAGAGACTGGTACAGGGACCTCAGGGGAGACGTTCAGGACCCACAAGAGTATATAACCAAGATCCTGGTCGTAGATGTGGACAGGACTAGGATCCCCAGCCCAGTGGAAACAGAAAGGGAACGGATAACACCTTCCATGAGAGTGCCTGAGAAACTACCAGCTAGTACCCCCGACCCCTCCCCCAGGGCCCATCATCTGGTGTC